TTTGAACAACTTAATCATATACTCAGTTTTGCTTGTTGCAGGCATTGCGACTAACCTAGCATACTTACTAAACCTATTCACAATGACATAGACATATCGCATTTTACAATTGCTGGTGACCAGCGTGTCCATGAAATTCATGGACAAACTCTCAACCGGCCTTTCCGGCATCGGAAGGGGCTTGAGAAACCCAAGAGGGGCCTGTGTACGTGGCTTGTCTCTTTCACATACCTGACAAGTCTCCACGTACAACTTGGCATCTCTCATCATTTTGGGCCACCAGAACTGCTGTAGCAAGTTGGCTGCAGTTTTTTTGTAACCAAAATGTCTTGTGGTGTCATGACACTGTCCTAAAAATAAACTAGTATGCAAAGATTCCTGGTTAGGCACGCACAAACGTTTATTCTCGGCCTTCTCAAGGAAGAACATGCCGTTGACCAATTCAAACTCGGCAGAAGTCACTTTGTCCTTTGGCTCGAGTCTGCGTATGATCTTGACCATAAACAGATCCTCATGATAGGCTTCCACAAAAGATCGAGTGACATAGTCCGCGAAATCGAATTCGGTGATCAACGGATTCAACGCACCAAGGAAGTCCGGCCTACGCGATAACGCATCAACAACTTTGTTATACTCCTCTTTGATGTACTGGGGTTCGAAGTCATATTGCTCAATGACTTCAATCCAGCGCTCCAGCGCATCTGAGAGCACTGGCTGAGTTCTCATCCACTTCAGGGTCTGATGATCAGTCCTGACGTAGAAGAACCTCCCAAGGAGGTAGTGCCTCCAGTGGGTTAGCGCTTTATAGATCACATAGATTTCCTTCTCATAGGTGGACTTAGCCAACTTCTGAGAGGGCATCTTTTTGGACATGTACTCGACTGACCTCAACTTTGGCCCCTCTTGTTGCGCAAGCATGGCACCAATGCCATATTGGCTGGCATCCGTGGTCATTATGAATGGTTTGTCAGGATCGGGAAGTTTTAAGACCTCATGGTGTGTCAAGGAGTGCTTCAGATGTCTGAAAGTGGCCTTACATCTGTCTGTCCACTCCCAAGGGGTGTCAAGGCGTGCCTGGTCCGTCAAAGGTGCGGCCACTATGCTATATTTCTTCACAAAATTGCGGTAGTAGCCGATCATCCCTAAGAAGGACCTCATCTCAGGTACAGACTGAGAACGCGGAAAGTCATGAATGCTGGTCACCTTCGCGTCATCGGGCTTCGATCCCTCTACAAAAATCTCATGACCTAGATACAAGATCCGGGTGCGGCCAAACTCACACTTCTCCTGGTTGACCTTGAACTGGTGTTGCCGAAGGAGGCTAAGGACTTTGTCTAAATGACCAACATGCTCCTCGACAGTGCTACTAACGATAAATATGTTATCGAGGTACACGATGACAAAATTGTCCAAGTAGTCATGAAAGATCTGGTTCATGGCGTGCTGACAGGTGTCAGGAGCATTGCAAACTTGAAGGCCGAAAAGCATCACCACAAACTCGTACAGGCCGTACCTGGTTTGAAAAGCGGTTTTGTGTTGATCCTCGGTGTCGAGAGCATCAGCCTCGCAAAGTGCGGGACCCTCCCGGTCGCGTCACGCAAGAGTTGGTTTACTCTCGTCATGATGCACATGGAGCTTCTGCAAGTCGCTCCGGCCGAGTGCACCAGCCATACCTCTTGCGAGCCCCTACAACAGGATAGGGTCAACGTGAGGTACAACTTTACTTCCACCTACGGGAGTTGTCACCTCCCTTCGGTGGGCGTATCCCCACCGAGCTACCGGTCTACAGTAGGAAAGATAATCAGTTGTAATCGCAGAGGTGGACCAGCTGAGAGCGTTTTTCGTTCGTTGTAGCATGATAGGGGGTACGCACGGTCTTACGCCTCTATGGAACCCGCACGTGAACCGACGCACTTGGGGGCCGAAGTCCCAAGCGCGACTCGTCGTCGGTCGACTAGGACGCATCCTACATACCCCGCGTTACACCACAACACTCACACACACGGAACGCCACAAAACAAACAACACAACAACACTCCTAGTCCCTTTTGTAGCCATACCATAACCTTCCGACGCGGAAATCGGATAGGCGACTCGCGAGAGACTTAGTATAAAACCACACAGACTCAGGGTCTCCCCATATCGATTAGCAATGCATGAATACTCAAGCAGTCGAAATGATGGCGAACTATGTAGTATCCATAATCAAGCGGTCCCTCGTGGATCCGAGTACCGCTTATGACACTCAAGTGTCAATCTCGAAGTATCGTGAGGGTCGAACCCTTCATGATATTGCACGGCTGAAGGAATAATTGTTCGGTCCCCGTGGCCAGGGTTGTCAGGCGGGGGCCCCCGGGGGCAAAGCCGGGGTAGGGGTTCGACCCCCGGACCCCCGCCGCCGGGGTGCCCCACCCCC